TCGCGGAGAGATATAAATTAGTTATATTAATACTAGTATATTAATGACTTCTAATACTTTTTCGAGGAGTTAGGGGTTACCTTCGACGATTTAGGGGTTGACTTAGGTATTAATTTATCTACTAATTCGGCGATAGTAAGGTTAAAAGGTGATCTATATGTAGATAGATCTATTCGAATGGAACGATTCCGGGCTTATAACTAACAGAAATCACCGGTATTGCAATGTATGGTTTAAAATAACAGATATATATGACTCTAACTAACTAAAATGATAAGAATCCCCTATTTAACAATTTGCTAGGGTATAACTGACTAAGCTTAATATGCAATTTATATGGGGCCTACTATCATAGCGGTCCATGTATTTTCCGAGGTGTTGAATACTCGGGTTCCTAGTCATGTATTGTAACATAGCTTTCGACATGATATCCACAATTTATACTCGTCTTTCGACCCACGCAACCCGCTGTCACTCTGCTCTGCGAGAACCTCCTGTTCAAAACCACAAAAATCGCCCCCTTTACATTGCGCGGCTCCGAGTTTATGATTGTTTCATCCGCTGGCATTTACTGCCGCTACAAAATTTTCTGCCAGCCATTTGTCCTTTCTCCCAAATTCCAGCGCTCCTGAAACCAACCTCCTACTTCGGATCACAAAATGTGTACTGACTATTCAGATAGTATTACCTACTATTCTCACGAATGAAGACATCGGAGTCATCCCAACCATGGCGAACCAAATGCCACTGAGGCTTCCAAAATGGCTCGAAAAGCTGCAAGGAAAATTGAATTGGTCTCAATGGCGCAAAGGTCTTCATGACGCCTTTCTGCATGTCGATCCTGCTTCCTGGGATGTTATTATGAACAGACTCGATGACACCACGATAAAGCAGGAACCAGTGACTATTAGAGAGGCAGAAGCTATATATCTATTAGCCACGGAGCAAGATGATTCTCTCAATGCCACTGCAGACCTCAGTACCAGTGCCAATTTCAATGGCGAATTGGACTCCGATACTGACGAGAACCCCGTTACCGATGACGAGCCAGTTGTCACTGTGGCAAGGGCCATGACACAAAGCGTTTCCACACTCTCCGGCGCTCAACAATATCAGCCCCGGAGAACGGCGTAAGCTGAACATTCATGCTCGCAATCTTCTTGCCTCGGGTCTTGGCAGAGAGCCACTCGCCGTGATTGAGCGATTCATGGATGCGCATGAAGCTTACGTCAAGCTCGAGAGCCTCTACGGTAAAACTTCTGCCCAGTTTATCCACATTGCGTGGGAAAAGTTCAGCAGGGTCCGTTACTCTGCTCATGGCCTTACTCCCGCTGCTTTTGTTGATCGCTTCCAGAAGAGTCTTCGGGATGTCAAAGACCAGTGTGTGGAGGTTCCCCCTACCGTGGAGCTTGCCCAGTTTCAGCAGGCGATCAAACCGAACCCGAACCCAACTACATTCATGCCAGACATGAAAGTAGATATTTATGATCCGAACTTTATGAATGGTGTCTACGCAGACTTCCTTGAAGACCAGCCGCCAACATGTTAGCGTGTACTTCACTTATGTCTAATCGGATCTCTTGTGTCTTGAAGCTACGTTCTTGCCCAGAAAAATTGCTCTAATCTCCGGCAAAAGACAGTCCTATGCGAGGACCAAGATGACAACTTCTGACAAGAGTTTGAATGCATAAGTTCAATTTGATTCCCGTTAGATACATTCACGCGTAACTGTAATAATAACGATAAAGTCATTTTCTTAGCGAATAATACCCCTTGCTCACCCAAAACTCGATGTGGCGTTGCAGTAGCTCCCGATCCAAAGGAACATAATTGATATCCGGCCGGTCCTCTAGGGCCTGAACAGTGTTCTGTGTCTCAAAAACCGGAACGTCGATGCATGTCTGGATCCGAGTCAAGTTGTCCCAGACTTGTTCCTGCAGCGCTGGAAGCAACGGCTCCAGTGGACCTCCCGGATGCTCTTGAATCCACTCTAACCATTCCTGGTATGGAACTTGCTTGACTGGATATCCAGCTTGGTTGAGCAAACTGCACGTCTCCTCTAAATCAACCGACTGTGTCACATCCGGGGAGACAATATGGTAGGATTTGCCAAGATTCTCGGACTTTGAAGCAATATGTAAAATAGCCGAGCAGACAAAATCAATCGTCACATACTCCAGCCGCAGGCGAGGAAGATAGGGGAATAGACCGCTTTGAATTGACCCCATGATCATTCGTGCGAAGAAATCATCTGCGTTTCCATAACCTTGTGATTTGTCCCCAATCACGAACCCTGGACGATAGATAATTGCAGGTAAGCCACGGGCCCGGGCCCTCTGGACCATTTCATCCGCCACCCACTTGGTTTGCGCGTATCCCATATCGTAAGGTAGGGATCCCAAATGTGGTGCGAGAGGGCCATCTTCGAAAACCTGCTTCGTTTTGTTCACAAAGCCAGTTACATTCCACACGGCAAGCGAGGAAATATAATGCAGTGTCTTGCGTCGGCCCAATGTGGTGAGTCGGATTAGATTCCGCGTGCCAAGAACATTTGGCTCATAAAGAGCTTCGTATGGTTCACACCAGTTTACTCGCGCACCATTGTGGAAGACGATGCTGGCCCAGTTGCTGAGCCAGGAGAACTTCTCCTCTCCTAGGCCTAGGTTGGCATCTGTAAGCTCACCGTCAAGAGCGATGATTTTTTGAGTTGTCTCCAGCCTATCATTCCAAAGGTCGTACTTTTCCAAGGCTTTCTGAATGCGGTCATTTGCTGTTATATCGCCACGGCTTCGGGCCAGACAGGCCACCTTCTTCACACCCGGCATGGACAGAAGTTGATGAAGTAAGTGTGCGCCAAGGAACCCAGTCGCTCCTGTGAGGAAAACGTGTCCCTCCTTAGTAGATTGCCAATCTGGAGGAGAAACCAAATCGTCTGCTAGGTGAGAGTCTTGTGCCCATCTCTTTGTCTGGGTCGGCTCAACACCGACTTCGGCAGAGCTTTGAAGGAGAGCTGCAAGACTTTCCAAAGTAGCGTTGGCATGTAGTTGTGCCTGTGTCACGCGTTTTCCATTATTGTAATTGATCGTTCCTATGAGCTGGGCAGCCTGCAGCGAATCGAGTCCCAGAGAGAATATATTTTTGTGGGGGTCAAGTGGTGACACATTCAGCAACTCTTCAAGATGCAATCGGAGCCAGTCAGTTTGACCGTCCACTCGTGGAGACTGCTGGACTTCGGATTCCTGTTGCTTTGATGATGCCTTGTGAAAATTGGAAATCAGGGCATTTCTGTCCACCTTGCCATTGGATGTAAGGGGAAATTTCTGGACAGTTTGGATTGAAGCAGGGATCATGTAGTATGGCAAATGTTCCTTGGCCCAATTGATAATTTCAGACCACTGAACTTCCGTTTCGCATTCGACTGGAATGCAAAAGGCCGCCAAGGCCTCTGAGGTCTCCTTCTTGTTTAGGATGACAGCACATGATGCCACGTGCAGGTGCCTCTCCAACGTACGCTCGATATCCCCCAGTTCCACACGATGCCCAGAAATCTTGAGCTGTTTGTCTGCACGGCCAATATAATCCAAGGAACCAGATGAGTGTCTCCATTGTGCCAGATCGCCAGTACGGTACAGGCGGATAGATCTTCCACCTTGCTCTCCAAGTGTGGCGGCATTGACGTGGATAAATTGCTTCTCATTTTCTTTGGGTCTATTCAGGTATCCGGATGAAATCTGAGGACCGGCAACACAAATCTCCCCAGTCTGATGTGTCCCGGTGATATTCCTGAGCTGTCCGTCTAATAGATAAATCTTGGATTCTCCGAATGCTTGTCCGATGCTGATGCGAGGATGTTGTGTCTCCTGTAGATCGACCCGGCATATGGTTACATATATAGTTGTTTCTGTAGGACCGTATCCATTCCACAGATTTGTTGGTGGGCCGTCGATAAGGACTTTTCTGACTGCACTGACATTCAAAGGCTCTCCTCCCACAAGGACGTGACGCAGCCCACGAAAGGCGGTTGAAGCATACAAGGCAATGACATTGAAGAGCGCTGTTGGTATAATCACCGCTGTGACTCTTCTGCTTTCCATAAAGTCGCTGAAACCAATCGGATCTGTGACGATCGCTCTGGGAACTTGTATGGCCGTACCCCCGGCGAGTAGTGATGCCCAAACCGCCCAGATACTGAAATCAAATCCCGGACTCATGGCAAGAGCCACGTGGTCGGAAGAATCAAGCAATGAAGCCGGCTGAGAGTCTAAGACATGCAGAACACCACAAGCCAGGACCTGTATGGGTTTAGGCTGTCCCGTGGAGCCAGAGGTGAAGAAAACATAGCTGCGATGGGTATCCGGACATCCTGCCTGTACACGAACTGGGGCGGTATCACTCAAGGTGATACTCTGCATAGTTGCGTCTTCAACTTGGATAATCTCAAACCCAGACACTCGATCCATCAAAGCTTTGCTGGTGATGACGAAGCGGGAATTGATATCATGCAGCATGGCCACCAGGCGAAGAGAAGGAATGCATGGGTCAATGGGCACACAGGTCCCTCCCGCTCGGAGGACAGCAATTTGCGATATAATCTGCTGATATCCTGAGTCAAGTAAGATACAAACAGGCTCCCCGAGTTTGATTGATTTTTCATGCAATTTTTCGACGAGTATATCAGCTCGCGCAATAAGCTCTCGATAGGTAAGGCTGGTATCACCGTCGACCACTGCAATTGCATTGGGAGACGCTTTTGCGCGCTGAACAAGGCGTTGTTCCATTTTGCTTTATGCTAGTCGAGGTAGCTGATTAAAGGTTTGTTTGAGACAAATGTGTGACTGAGTGTGACGATTCAATTATCGCTGTACTGTTGTTCGGGAGTTCTTCTACCAGAAAACACACCAGAGCACCAGCTGTTTTATAGGACATGGTGCTCAGCCTGGCGTCGATATCCTTCCTAAGAAGATAAAACATATTCCTACTGAAAGAGCAAGCTGCGTCAATCCTTAGGCTATATTGTCTGGGGCGACGAATAGGCATCTGCCTAGCAGACATTTGATGACAGTGAAACTTCCATCCTTTTTTGCCTCTTCGGTTGGACATGCTATGTGCAATAAGACTTGAATTGGGAGTCAGATCATGAGTAACAGATGATGTTTTCTCGATGCACCAGAACTCGCTTTTGGTATGTTATTGTGCAAGTCCACGATGTACTTACCTAGCTGGGTATTCAAGGATAGTCTTCACTCCATACCAGTATAAGACCTGCGTCCGTCATGTGTGACCGAAACAAGCCAATCAGCCAATTTTTACTCAAAGCCTGTCTTTCATTACCTTTTCTCGACTTAGGTACGTTGTGATACAAGTTGTAGGTTTAGAATGACACCTCTAGAGTTTGAGCGCCCGAGGACCCAAACCTTAATTAAAATGAAAATTCTGCCTGTCAAACTACAGCCTCCACACATTCGGCTAACATTGTATACACCAGTCCTCGCTCTGCGCTCACGAAGATTGGGTGTAAGGGCCATCGATAGGATTAGGGATTTGATTGATACCCAGGGGGGAAAAGGTAGAAACACGAAATAATACTAGGTCTATTAGCGCAGTAGAGAGCGGGCGGTGAGAGTGATGAGATGGGTCCCATTTTGGGGGTATCCAAACTTTGGAGGTATCACTGTAGAGAAGTATGGACTTCCAATTACCATGTAACATTACGCAAGACTTGACTTGGATGATCTTTAGAACCTGTTTAAACTACGTTGCATTCTTGGCCTACCGGCTTGAGTTTAGCCAACATACCAAGTGCAAATCTTAGACCATATGGATGGATGTCTTTCCGTGTCGACGCAAGATGGAGTCAGGTCAGTGCGCTAGGGGACACTAAGTGGCAGGTCAGCAGGACTCAGCATGAACTATTTAAACCAGTGAGATCGAACTAAAAGCAATCTGCCCACTCATACAATAGACGTACCAACATTTACCGATATATGGACCTTTGCCATATTGGCAGATCGATTTTACTCTACGAAATATGATGATCTCCAAAATCACTCGAGAACAGATCCAGATGCTGAAATCTAAGCTCAAAGAGCCGGCATCTGTTCTTTGTCCGGACTCTGAAGAGTATGAAAAAAGCCTGGAAAGGTGGTCGGCAGTTGGGATTCAACGAGCGGTATCGCCAGTCATATCACAAAGAACACTGGACTTCGACTAATATGACATGTAGGGAATAATTGTGCGCCCGAACAGCGCCGAAGATCTTGCTACCACTCTGCGCTTTGCTAGGGACAACCGAGTGGACCTGGCAGTCAAGGGTGGAGGACATTCGACAGACACTTCCTCCTCGAGTAACGGAGGTATTTTGATTGATCTTGGCAGTATGAGACAGGTCAATGTCGACCCGATCAAGTCAACTGTTACTGCACAGGGTGGCGCACTTTGGAAGGATGTAAACGATACTGCCGCTCTGTTTGGCCTGGCCGTAGTTTGCGGAACGGTCAGCCAAACGGGGGTTGGGGGGCTCACTTTGCGCGGGGGATGTGGGTATTTGACTCCGAGATATGGGCTCGTCCTTGACAATCTTCTTTCCGCTAAAGTTGTCACTGCGGACGGACAGATCCTAAATGCATCCGCAAACGAGCACCCTGACCTTTTTTGGGCAGTTCGGGGCGCTGGAGCGAACATTGGGGTGGCAGCGGAACTGACGTTCCAGGCGCACACGCAGGCTAATATGGTTTGGTGTGGCTCCATGATTTTCACGCATGACAAACTACCTGTCGTCCTCGAGGCACTCAACGGTGCCCTGCTTCATCCACAGAATAACGCGGCAGCGCAATGTGTCCTTGCTCTATCTCCCGATACTGGGACCCCGGTTGTCACCACTGTACTCTTCTTCAATGGTTCCGAGGAGGAAGGGAGGCGTCACTTCTCTAGCCTTGTTAAATTGGAAAATATCAGTATGGAGATGGAAATGAGGCCTTACGCAAAGGCCAACACCATGCTTGACACTGCCTTGCCGCCTGGCGGAAGAAAAAAGATTGTCGGGGTGAAATTCGCTCCGTCTATTCGGCCTGAATTTGCCTCCAACCTTTTGATGGAAGTCGGCCGCAAGCTCACCACAGCGCCAGATCTAGCTACTAGCTGTCTCGAGGTCGATTATTTTGATCTTTCAAGGGTCAATGGTGTGCCCATCGCTGAGACTGTCTTCCCAAGTCGAACGAACACTCTCAATGGAGCCCTTCTCCTCCAGTGGACTGATCCGAACAAGGACCAGGAGTTTATAGCATGGGGGGAAGAAATCCAGACTATGTGTGAGACTGAGTTACGGCGAGCTGGTCAGAAACCAGATAAAACGGTGTCGACATTCTTCGGCTATACTCAGGGTGGGTATCGGGGGGAAAATACAGAATTTGAGGGATATACGCTAACTTTGTCTTTAGATGATAACATGACACCCGAAGATATGTTCGGGGTCAATGCTGACGCCCTACTCAAGGTGAAAAGAAAATACGACCCAGACAACGTTTTCAACAAATTGAACCCTCTGGTGCTGTCTGGTTAGTATCTGGAATTTACTCATTAGGTAGGCTGGTCAATCATGAATGTCGTACAAACTGGCTTCTTCTAAGAGTGGGGTTGCTGGCGTCCAAGGATTGACCTAAGCAGTTGGCGGGGAGCTCCACTGCGTCCTATCTATAGTTGTTGGGAGCCAATCTTCTGTATTCATTCTTAATCACATGAAATCTTGGCTTCTTAATCAATCACAGTAGATTGCCATTATGATAGTATGCTATTTCTGCTTTATCTCCCTTCTTGGAACAAATAGAAATGCGGACCCTGTTCTCCCATAAGGCCAGGGCGCCGGCAATGGATAAAATGACGATCTGTCAGCTAAAAGGAACATGGGAAGAGAACAGAAGGAAGCAGGTATATCCCGGCTAGGGTTATATCGTCCACTAATCTCCGCACCCAGCATGTCCTTGGCGTCAATGTCGAGAGACTTTGGTTAATACCTGTGTCTATAATGACAGCGTGGATACAGTCGTCTGTCCCACGAGCTGCGCTGAGAGGTTTGAAGACCAATCTCCGTCTATTCCGTACATTAAACACATAGCACTGAATCAAACTGCGATTAAGGAAGGATTAAGTAAAGAAGCTACCCATGAGGTGCCTGCCGAACTATGACGCAAGAGATGCTTTTTACGTAATCCCGAGTCAAGAACAGGAATCCCACCTCGGCACTTACTTTGACAGAAAGGTTAGTTCTATGCAAGTGAGCTCAATATTAGTAGGGGTCCATGCAGGATCGCTGTCCAATAATGTAGTACAAGAGCCGAGGCATGTGCGGACTATGCTGAGAACGCTTTGACCCCGAGTTCCAAGGTTCTGGCGGGTAGAGCCGCTTACGACCATGGTAACCCTAGAGTATAAATCTCCGCTGTCTCCGCCTCTGTCCAGACAGCCCGGTCGCATGGGGAAAAAAGACCCCGTGGGATAGCCAGTGGGCGGAGTAGCAGACTCACAAAGTACACCATGCCAGCTTCCAGCCACTAGTCCAAGCCCGGCCATACATTACCCTTTTTAGAATCTATACGAAAGCGCAAATTACTTCAGTAACTGTGACAGATTCGAAGTGAAGTCCGTATCCTCCAGCTCGGTGAGCATATGCTCCCTCCTCTATACCTCTCTGGGAAGTCGGGTCTCCTTGCCAACCTTAGAATAGCCATGTTAAGACAAAGAGAATTGTTTGTTATCTCTCAGATGCCACAGGCTCGCCATCCCATAGTTACTGACTATTTAGTCAGTCATCTTTCCTAGTTTGTACAGAAACTCTACAATAATTTACATATTGTATACCATCGTCTACCATTATAGATATTAACAGGTTATAAGCCTAGGAGCTTATTATTAACAGTTTAACTACTAGTTAATATCCCCGGTATCTATATATCTCTCCCTACACATAGGGGTAGTACTAAGCCTAGTACTACCTAGTTAAAACTCTCGCTTTTCTTACCTCCGCCTACCTAGAGATCTTACCTATTTAGGTAGTAGGAATAGCTTTAGGTTTACAGCTTATTACTATTATTAAACCTACTAAGGTAATAGGTAGGCTCTGTTTCGTATAGGGCTCTCCCTACTAGGTATTATTATCTTAGGTCTTAGAAATTAATATATTAAGTATTAATTAGATAGTTTTAGAGGTTTATTTGCTTAATTACTTATTTACTAGTAATCTTTAGGTAGGGTCTATATAAACCTTATCCTTAGTAGATCTCTCTCTCTATAAGTATCTCTCTCTCTCTCTTTATATCCTCTCTATCTACCTTTTTTATTAATTTTAGGTACCTTACTATCCTCTTTTATTAAATTTATTATTACTATTATTTTTAGTATACTTAGTTACTTAGGGATAGCCTTACTTTTACCTATTTAGGAAGTTAGTAT